ATCCCACGACCGGCTCATTCTGCTACCCGCAGCGCCATTAGGGAAACCTCTCTCTCGTGTCTCTACGCCAACCACTTCGTGCGCTCCAAGCGCACCCCTCCTGCGTTCTCCACCTCCCAGCCCATACCCTGCCAAGGAGGGCGAAAGAACGGCAAAGTGGGGACGAATGCTCACCGCTGACTCCCGGGACGAAGGCGGCAACGTCGAAGTGTGGGGCGTTAGACCGAACAAGGAGCATAAACTTCGGGAGCGGACATTCAAGGGCATCCCGAACTGCTGGCGGAGCGCCGCCTGGGAAGTGCTCATGAATAGGTTCACCAAGACGGGCAGAAGGGAGCTGCGAACACTTGCGGGGGAGTACCGTCAAGCCCTGGACCAGCCGTCGAGCTACGACATCCAGATCGACTTGGACGTGCCACGGACGATCGGCGGTAATGTCCTCTTCCGCACGCGCTACGGTCTGGGGTAGGTTGTCACGGACTACTTGGCTGCCGCCCGTCTGACTGATGACCCCTCGCAGACAACGATCATTATTCCATGTCCTGCACAGCCTGTCATTACGCTGCGATACGTGCGGGTATTGCCAGGGCATGGGTCCCATCGCCGCGACACTCCTCTGCTACTTCGACCCGGAGCGTGCGTATGCATCGCTTGTGCGAATACATGACGCATACTCGATGCACGAAATCTTCAGCCCCGGGTTTCCTGGGCTGCTTGAGGCGATCTACGTTCAGGAACGCATCACGGAGCAGATGATGCCTGACGTCTATGCGGCGTTCAAGAAACACATGATCTCGACAACGTCCTACGCAACAAAGTGGTACATAACCCTGTTTGCCAATTCTGTGCCATTCCAAGCGCAGCTCAGGTTGTGGGATGCGTTCCTCCTGGAGGGCCACGACATCTTCATTGTCGTGGCTGTGGCTGTAGTGTGGGTCTACAGAGGTAGGTCCGGCGAAGTCCGCGCGCAGGAGTCGGATCTGACTATCGCTTTAGATCATATCACTTCGAGCTCGGCCAATTTTGAAAGCGTCTTGTCATTGCTCTCATCCTTCTTCGTTCCCGAGGACGAGAACGCCCTTCTATCATGGATAGAAAAGGTCATCTCTGACAAGACGATGCGAGACCAGATGCATGCTTGGCGACAAGAATGGAAACGTCTCGTGAAAGAAGGCAAAGACGGCTCGGCACTCCTATAGCCCCAACACCCCTATCCATCTCTGCATGCACATCCTGTCGTTCTTGTGGTCTTGCGGTGTATTATGCTTGTCGCACTCTGTATATACGCTCCTTCGTCATCTCGCTACCCGGAAATACCGTACAATTATAGCTACTAGTACTTGCACGCTGTACCATTTGCACCAGCCTTTTACACTATCATGTTTAGGCCCAACACTCGCTCACAGACTTTCCGCGCGATATAGACGGCGCATACAGATTCTTCCCGCGATCACGCTCAGGCTGCGCCCGCTTACTTTGACGACCTATACTCTCTACGCTACAACGTATCTCAAATTCTGCTTGTCCCTTGTATTCTGGGTGTCTGACCTGTTAACGCGGGTGGTTCTTCGACCGATGCAGTGGTGGGAACCCGTCGCTAGGCCAATCTGAGCGAGGCTCTTGTGCTCAAAGCGGCTGTTCGTCAGCGTCCTTTATCCACAAATGGCAATCCCCTTGTATACGCTATCACTGCTGGCCTTCCTCTGTCTCTCCCAAACCCCGATGACGCGGGTCGTACTAGGAAGGCTCAAAGCGTATAAGATATGCGCACCCTGCAGCTTGGAGACCATCAGGCCTTCGGTCTACAACGCACACCCAATCACTCCAGGCACTCGCCTCCGCTGCCTACTAGCTCATCGTCGCACCAGTCGTCGTTAGCTCGACGTTGCTGATCTATCACTCTAAACCCACGCGACATTATACTTGGTGCACCGCTTCTCGAGTCACCTACACACCTACCAGTTTAAACGAGACACCACACACTACATAAAGCATGTCCTACTACCCGTCGTCGCCTTCTTCCCCCGCCTCCGGCTTCTTCCCCACGGCACCCGCGTCGCCGCACGCGTTCTCGTCGTTTCACCAGTCCCCGCGGGACGGACACGCGATGTACGCCGCCTTCGGCGGGTCGTATGGGCCCGGCCAGTCCGGCGGGGCATCGGCAGGGCAGGGAGGCAATGGTTCGATGGGCTCGCTGAAGAGGCTTGTGAAGAGGAAGTGAGCTTGGGGCCACTCAGGAGCGGTTGGAGCGGAAGTCGTGGCAGGGGAGGAGGGAGGGAGAGAGCCGACTGCGCACCGCTAGTCGGACAAGGCTTGGACAGGAGACAAGAGGAGAGAGGGAAGACATCTGTCCGCAGGGAGGACCACGAGCCGCACCAGATTTTCCTCCCTCAAGAGTCAAGACCACAGGGGACACGCCGAGCCCCCGCATCGCTTTCGTCGGCATACTTCGCATTTTGGCACACTCATGTCTGTTCGTTCAAAGCCAGCCGTTTCTTTATAGACCACTGTATCCATAGCCAGTTCTTTCGACCTTCTCGTAGCTGATATTATTAGCCGAATGTATCTATAATCTTCTCCTATCCCATGGCAACGATTGTCCGTCTATCAATGACTCTCGGTCGCAGGGAATACTTACAGCATTGAGACAGAGACGAGCAGCATATTAGGGTACTCGCTGACTTTATCTTGAAGTCTGGGTGGGACGACAATACTAATATCTGGGACGGACGCGTTCGCGACGATCAGCGCCACAATGAAATAGACGCCCATATTGAGGACGTGACCGAGGACGAGGCGGACGCCTGCACTTGGTTCACGCCCATTCGCTCCGCAGGCGGTGCCTCCCTGTCTTTCCTTCCCCTACCACCATGCCTTCAGGTCCTCTCAGCATCTCAGCATCCGGCAGGCTTTCAGCATCCGACTACCAGCCTTTGACACCTCGCACGCCGCACTCTCGTTCAGGATACGCAGAAGATGCTATCACGGACGCGGATCTCGACGAGAACGCAGGGTCGTACGCTTCATATCGCCAACAGCAGTCTGAACCACTTCTCGCCTCGTCTGCAAGCCCGAGCTTTCCTGCATCAGGCTATCGGAGTAGAGGCGACGACGTGGACGCTACTGCCAAGCCAATCAAGCGATGGCAGAAACAGCTCTCGGGGAAGACCGTTCTCCACAACACGCCCCTCATCGTTGGTACAATTGTAGCCGGAATTCTCCTGTCTTTGATAGTGGTGTCGTTCAAGAAACCGGAAGCTCTGGATCGCGTTGTCGGCTACATGCCAAACTCGATTCCGAGTAGCAAGCCGGTAGAAGAGGTAATTGCTGCCGAGCCACCATCTCCATCTCCAGTATACATCGACACCATGCCTCCACCTGGCCTCGCCCTCTCATACGAGAACTACACGCAGTTCCCCCTCACGGGCGCACAATACCGACATGAATGCGACATCCTCATGTCCGGCAAGTTCATACACCACTCTTCGTACTGGGACCCACCGAAGGAAGGTATCCTGGACGTCCCCCATCACGACGACGTAACGGACTATCATGTCCCCGAGGGAGGGCTTACGAAGGTTTGCTCGAGAACAATCACGTACCAGCTGGACGGTACCGTAGGGCTGGTCGCGGACCTGGCTTTGATGGCGCAGGCCGCTGCTTTGGCACGAGAGGTACGTCTGCACAGCTCTCAGCGATACGCCCGACTCCCCTTTTGTGTATGCGCCCCATTTGCACGCGAGTTTGCCGCGAATACGCGGAAGAGGGCCTGGGCATCGCCGTCAATTGTCAACTCGCTTTGAAGGGGGTTGCTGATTTTCATGAAGCGCAACAGGACGTTCCTCGTCGATGACACTTATTGGAACCGTGGAAAGTTCGTCGATCACCTATGGTACTGGAAGATCAATTCTCACACCCTTCGACAGATGGACAGACCATTTCCAACATGTACGCGCCAGACAGCCAGGTCCGGAACCTGGTTGCAGAGCCCCGCCTCCGGAAGGTACGACTTAGTTATATGCGCTTGGCATAATACTCAGTGCCCCTCAGAACTTGTTGCTTGTCCCCGCTTTGCAAGACACTGGGTCGTGAGCGCTCGCACGGCCAAGTTCCACCTTGGCCACCCGTTCTCTGAGAACTATGAAGACCCGTACGCGACCCATTCACTCATTCCATCGATGTTGTATTGATTCGGCAGGCAGGTATCAACGAGGAATAAAGCGACAAAAACCTATGTTTGAACACGCCCTGCAGTCCTTCCGAGAGACTATCCGGCCGAACGCGCACAATGCGCAGCTTATCCATTCTGCACGTGCCGAGCTCGCGTCTGTGCTGTCCCTGCCTCCCCACGATCCAACGGCGCGTAATGACGACATGTCCCCGTCTCAGCAGCGGGACGCCGAGCCCGCGCTGCAGGCCCACAACCCCGACCCGTACATCGCGGTGCACATCCGACGCGGCGACCGCCACGCGAGCACCTTCCCGTACCGCGGACACTACGTTCCGCTCGAGAAGTTTGTCGAGGCGGCGCGCGGCGCGTGGACGCGCCTGTACGGCGACGACGCCGGAGAAAGCGCCGCGGCCTTCCCCGCGCCGCCGATCGCGTACGTCGCGTCGGACTCCCATGCGACTGCGCACGAGTTCGTGTCGGCGTTCCCGGCGTCGACGGCCGTCTTCTCGCTCGACTCGAGCACGGACCCTGCGCTGAGGGCGCTCGCGCCGCAGCACGAGTACGTGCAGGAGGAGTTCAATAACATGGAGGCCGAAGACAGGGTCCGGCTCACGCGGGGGATGATCGTGGACCTCGCGATGCTCAGTGGGTTGTGGGCGTGGGAGGATGATGTCGTGCCAGGGGCGACGATCTGCACGTTCAGGTAAAGGCTGCGATACCTTTGCGCTCTGGCTGAGGCTCACGGTATCTTGTAGCTCGAACATCTGCAGGCTGTCTGCTGTAGGCCTCGGCTGGGACCGAGCCTTTGGCTTCGGCGGCGACGACGATCCTCCGTATATCAACGACGCTGAGAAGCGGTGGATCGACCTCGACAATCGTGGTGTTGTCCTCCCGAGCTGGACGGCATTTGAGGTCTTCTCTTGAACAGCGTTCCCACAGACAGTACCTGGATTTCGTTGTTCACTTTGCTTTATTCCGTGCTGTAGCCGCTCATGGAACGGATCACCCTAGTATCAAACCCGCGATAGCTACAGTCAAATATCGGTAAAGAGAAATTAGCAATGGGATCAACATTGTATATTGAAGCTTCGAAGTCGTGATGCCGCCGGAGACACGTCGTCAGTGTGGCTTGCTCTCAGCACACTGCATCACATGCCGCCTTCGGCGATATACCTTCAGTTGCGCGGAGAGGTCGTTGGAATGTCAACTAGTACTAGGTTTGTACAATGAATATGCTGGCAACACAAGGGATGCTGAAGAATAGCATTAAGTGGAACTCAGACATCCGTTTACGAGGCTGTGAGGCTGATGTCAATTCCTACAAAATACATACAGTAGCTGCACAATGCGACGAATTCGATATCAATCATCGGTGGGCCGCCGTACAACGTTATGTACTACAGATATCATATGACTACAGTTTAATTCATTAGAGGCTGGATCCGACAGTTCTGAGGTTGCCGCAAACGTATCATATAGCTAAGGAAGAAAGAAAGACATGGACATGGACGAATGCTCTTTGCAAGGTGTCAGGGGTAGAGGATGACTTACTATGCGGGCTTGTCCGGAGAGGAGTGCAGCTGTCTCGAACACCACCCTTCTACACACTTCCTTGCCGTTGCTTTGAGCTCCTGCTCAGATTGGGGCTCCTCTGCCAGTGCCTCTACGATGGATGCTGTATAACGTGGGATAGACAGTACGCTGAATTGTGCACATAAGACGGCTATACTCTCAAGATAAACAGAAACGAACCTCTTCTGGAGCAGCTCCAAGCCTCGCACACTATTCATCTCAAGTGTATCTAGGCTTTCCCATTGACGGATGAGGATTGCCTGCGCTTCACGAGCGAGGGTGAGTGCCTTGCGCACTTGATCGGCTGTTTCCTGCTGCTTGGGCTGTCACCTGGTCAGGAGGGATCATGGCGTAGCAATAGCAACCTGTTCTACCTCAGTAACACGAGTTTCAAGAATATTAATGTATTCGGCCAGCAGCACACTGAAGATCTTGTTTGTGACTACAGTGCTTTACAATCAGCTATGGCATGCCAACATTGATAACGCTAACGTACCAGGGATCATTTTCGTCAGGAATTATTCGCGCTTACCTGCTGCAGTAATTTCTTCATCGAAGTAAAACCGTCCTTGCACAGGATCGTATGAAAAAAAGCGAAAATAATGAAAGTCGGTAAGCAGGCCATACACTCGAATGCTCTTCTTCTTTGTTGTTTGATTCACTTTGGCTGTGGCCACATTGAAACCCAGTCAAACACCTGCTCGCAAGCACGAGAACAGCTCACCGACATAGCAGCTCCATGAATAACTGGGCAATATCCTTGTCTCCACATGGGTAAGTTGGTGACTGTCATTCAATTTGTTGCATCGTGTAGCTACAGTATTGTATTTCCTAGTGTCTGACTGTACGTGGACGATACACACCAGTGCTCTCCCATCCGAGCATCAATTGCCTACCCATCGAATACTCTCCTCCATATGTATTCTGGTCCATGGTCTATGAGGGTGCTCTGTGGAGGGCGTCACGGTCATGCATTTTGCCACGAGTGGCGGCGCATCATCCCAGCGTGCCCGATGGCCTGGAGCAATATTAGTGCCCCGTTGATGCTCACGAGCCTGCACAAACCCGCACCAGAAGATCATGCATGGTGCATCGAGGAAGAAGACGTGGAAGCTGCACTTTCACCCCGTGGCAAGTGGCATTCGCGCGCAGCTGCAATGCAGACCTGGCACTCATGAAGGCTCATTCT